CAGGCTGACCTCAAACTCAGAGATTCACCTGCCTCTGCCTCCTGAGTGCTGGAATTAAAGGCATGCACCACCACCACCCGGCTGTTTTGATACTTTTATAAAAAGAAGTTTTAGGTCTGGTAAGATATTTGAGGGGTAAAAACACCTGTCACCAAGCCTGATGACCTGAGTTTAATACCTGGGACACACACACACTTTCTAGATAATAAATAACGCGATTAAGAATAAACTGTAAATAACATTTAAAATTCAGATCAATAAAAGTAAATAAATTAAAATTTGGATCACTCGTATGTCTACCATGGTCTGTTAGCTCCCCATCACTGTGACAGAATACCTCCATAATCAGTTTCCATAGTGTGATGGTTACTCTTCATCGTCAGCTTGCTGGGTTTAGAATCACCTATTAGGAGACTTTGCGCACATTTCCAGAGAGGAAAACAGAAGAGGGGAAATACCCCACACCCTGGGTATTAGCAGCACATTCATCCAGAAGACAGAGTGGGAGGAAAAGGAGAAAGCCGGCATCCATGCCCTTTCCTCTGCTCAGAGGTGTTCTAGTTGCATGTCACTGCTGCCCCAGAGCTGCCATCATGCCAGCCGTACCATGGTGGCCTATGAACCAAAATAAGCCCTGCTTTTTAATCTTCTTAGTTATTGTGTTGCTGTGAAGAGATACCATGACCAAGGCAACTTTGAAAGAAAGCATTAGCTGGGGCCTCATAGTCAGCATGAGCTCATCACAGCAGGAGCATGGTTGCAGGCGGCAGACGTGGTGCCGGAGCAGAGAGAGACACTGGGCCTGGTGTGGGCTTTTGACAGTCCACTTGCAGTGACACACCTCTTCCTAGTCCTTCCCAAATGGTTCCACTAACAGGGACCAAACATTCTGGGCCTGTGGGGGCCACTGTTATTCAAACCACCACACGTCACAGTGAGGAAAATAACCAATCCGCCTGGGTTACAGGTATATATATATGCTCTCCTGTCCTAGCTTCAGTCTGTGTTGCTTGGCCATGATGTTTGGGCCTGTGGTAGCGCAAGCATGAGATTGGAGGAGGCCTAGTCACCTCATTGTCGCAGGGAAGCAAAGAGAAATCGGAGAGTTGAAGTCCCAATAGTCCTTCAAGGACATGACCCCAGTTACCTTACTTTCTCACATTGGCCCCACCCCCGAAAGGTTCCACCACTTCCAACTGGCTCCGTGGGCTGGGAATGAAACTTTCAATATATGGGCCTTTGGAGAGAAGGGGGAGGCACATGTGTGTCTGTATGTCTGCACGCATGTGTGTGTGTGTGTCTGAAGAATGGGAAAAGCTCACTGAGTTGTAAGTAGTTTTAGCTACACAGCCATTTTTAGGATGATGTCAGCATATTTCATGAACACTCAGACTTCTATTGAGAGATCTGTAATGACTATTTTAGAAGTTTACTGGCTCTCTGTTATGTAGCACTTCTCTGCGCTAAATTAGCAGACTACTTCTTAGTGTGAAATTAATTTAGTTGCCGGGCAGTGGTGGCACACCTCTTTAATTCCAGCACTGGGAGGCAGAGGCAGGCAGATCTCTGTGAGTTCGAGGCCAGCCTGGTCTACAGAGCTAGTCAGAATCATGGTGTGACTGTGTACTCAGGGTCATGCCCCATGAGGAAGCACTGTACTTTCTCCAAGACTTTCAGCATGGACAACAGATGATGCCATTAAGTGGCTGAAGCCATGAAAGAATTAAGTGCTGGATTTCAGTGTCTGGTCTGACTCTCAGCTGATAATACCCCCTGTACAAACAATGGTTAAGCTTGGGCAAGCGCCTGTGATTGAGTTTAGTTGTCAGAGTAAAAGGTGCCTCTGCTTAAACGGCTTGAAGTCTTTCATCTGAGGATTGGTTGATTTTTCTCCAAGAAAGACTAATAACTAGTTATTAAAATGCTGGACAGAAACAGTGTTATTTTTCTCATTCCAACCTGTATGAAGCAGTAATGTCTAACTCAAACCAGAGTCAAATCCTAGCCACTTGCTAATTGAATGTTATGTGCATTTTATACCTTCATTTGAAGAATGAGAATAATCTGCCCCATTGCAGCTTCATGCGGCAGGAGGTAGTGCACACACAGCTCCTGGAGTGGCGCCTGTGTTTAGACAGAACCGACGTAAGAACTCTGGGGAATGTGGCCACAGAAAACAGTTGGAAGCTTTGAGTCACTTTCTTTTTTGGACTTCTGTGAATGTTGTGTTTGGTTTAGTCACATGTTCCATTTGACTCAAGTTTATTCATAGTGAGGTTGGTAAAATATATAAATAGCCCAGTTGGAAGAAAATCCCACATTTTAACTCTACATTTTTTCTGTTTAAAAAGTGGAGAATTTTCAAATACACTTATGTTTTTAAAAGTGGACTAATGAAGTTTCGAAAACGGTAATAAAGAACAAGACCATGTGGTTCACATCTGCAATCCTGTCGCTCAGGGCAGCCTCACACAGTAACCCCTCGCCCAGATAGCAACCAAGGACAGTAAACTAAGGATGCTGACAGGGTGCAGAGAGAGTAAGAGGAGAGTGAAGGCTGTTTTCTGAGTTTGACCACAGAGCCGAACTGCCGTGCAAGATATTCACAGGTGTTGATAATAGAGCATTGCTTATTGTTTATATCAGAATATTATATTGCCACTGTTTTATTAGACATGCATTGGAAGATTGGGGAGGTAGATCAGAGAGTTAAGCCCTTACCCTGTAAGCATGAGAGCTGGTGTTCGGATCTCTTGGTGGGTGTGGTGTCTTGCCCGAAGTCCCAGGGTGTGGGAAATGGAGGCAGAAGCAAGCTGACTGGTCAGATGAGCCAAGACCAAGAGCTGTGGCCCAGCAATAGATTCTGCCTCAGTATATAGGATGGAGAGCAATTAGGGAAAACACTTGAAGTCACCGTTAGGCCTCCACATGCGTGCACACACGTCCATGCCAAAATTTCTCTAGTGGAAGTCATTGATTTAGCATAGTATATGCAAATTTGTGTAATGTAAGCTACCATTTATAAGCTGTGTGAAAGACATGATATAGTTTTTAATGTTTATTTTATGTGTATATGTGTGTTTGCCCAAGTGTGTATCTGTGCACCATGTGAGGGCAGGAGCCCGCACAGGTCAGAAGAGGCATCATGTCCCTGGGACTAGAGTTACAGGTGGTTATGAACCACCATGCTGTTGCTAGGGATTGAACCCACGTTCTCTGCAAGAACAATGAATATGAATATATATATGAATTTGAAAGAAACTTTATGTCTTTGGCCAAGGACAGCTTTTGTAAAAGTAAAAACCAAGGAATCAGCATTAGTTGGATGGTCTTTAAGTACTTACATATGTGTGAATGTATGTATGTATGTTCAGAAAGTGCACTCTTGCTCCAAAGACAGGACACGAGTTTTATGGGGGAACGAGTTACAAAGCTTTATAACTCCCGTTTTCCTGGGCTTCCAGGGAGCTTGCTTTCACAGCATTCTGTTTCCATGTTGCATTAGGTTTCTGTGTTGGTTCCACTGTTATCTTTCTGAGGCATGAGGACAGCTTGCTAAGCTTCACAGGCTAAGCATGCACTCTACCACAGAGCTATACGTCACGCTTTCAGGCCTTGCCATGCCTCCTAATGTCTGCATAGCAGAACTACAGCCTCAGGATACAGAATTCGACAGAGTCCACACGATACAAGTTTGTATGTGTTAGCTCATCAAGCATAGGTCAGCTAAGTGAGTTAGTCAGAAACCCTCTTGATTGCAGAGGAGTCTTGGTCCATGAAATCCCCTAAGTGGATTCAAGGCTTGTCCCTGGGTTGAGTCCATAGTCTTTTTTATCAGGATGACAGGCTTGCCTCTTGGCTTCTATGTCCCTTTATTAGGAGGCCATGGCTGGGGCTCTTCTGTCTCTCATGCGCTTCAGCTGTCCTCTCGTTCCCTTCATTCTGATGCTCTCTCAGCATTTGTGTGATGGACTCCATTCTCCTTATCCTGATTGTCCTCATTCACTGCTCATGCTAGCTGCTGCTAGTCCACGCCCAGCCCAGATGGATTCAGTTTAAAGCTTCTTTCCCATAATTGGAGAGATCATGAAGTTACAGTCCAAAGAGGGAAGATATTTGTTACAATCTTTATAAATAATCTTCCACAATTAGCACACTGTTTCAGTGTATCAATAAAAATAAAACTAGAAGTGATGTGGATGGAAGATGGATGCCGCAGCTTTATTGGCTTGGCAGGCCTTCTGCTACTGGGCTGTACCTTCACTCACAGCTTTATTGGCTCAGCAGGCCTTCCGCTACTGGGCTGTACCTTCACTCACAGCTTTATTGGCTCGGCAGGCCTTCCGCTACTGGGCTGTACCTTTACTCACATAGTATTGGGGGTTTGCAGTGTTGGGGATTGGACCAGGGCCTTGATCATATTAGGCAAGTGCTTTCATTACTAAGCAACATCACTGGCTCTTGCTATTTGATGCGTTCTTATTTGTTCAAGACCAGGTCTTGCTATGTAGCCCAGGCTGGTCTTGAAATTGCAATCCAATTAGCTCAGCCTCTGGAGGACTGGAACCATATAGGTTTGTACCACCGCACCAGACTCTACACTAACGATTGTAAAGCATTTTGGTGTTTTGTTTTTTTTAATGTGTGTGGGGGGGGGCATGTCTGTATACCATGATTGCACATGGATATACCTGTGTGTCTCTGTGTCTGGTACTTGTGGAAGCCAGATTCCAAAGTAACAAATTTAAAAGGATATTGGTGGGTTTTTTTCTTTGAAAAAGAAATTTATGTGTATGGGTGTTTTACCTGTTTATATATTATATTATATGTCTTAGCGTTTCTATTACTGTAAGGAGACAGACACCAAGATGACAATAACTTTTTGTTGTTGAATAAAAAGTACATCAGGAATAAATTTTTATAAATGAAAATACTGTGGGTTATTCTTTTGCTCGGAGAGTTATTTCTCTCTAATCATTTGGAATCTGTCTTATTTCTAGGAGCTCTGCCAGTGCCGGCCGGGAGAAGGAAGCTGCCCGTGCTGTAAGGAGTGCATGCTGTGCCTTGGGGCGCTGTGGGATGAGTGCTGCGACTGTGTGGGTGAGCCTCTGTGCGCTGCGCTCCCGACTTCAATATAAGTCTGTCCCAGTCAGGGTCATCCAGCTATGCTGGGACACCATGGCCAGAGCAGCTTAGGATTCTGGAGGCAGGAGCTGGTGCAGAGGCCATGGAGGGGAGCTGCTTACTGACTTGCCCCCCATGACTTGCTCAGCCTACTTTCTTACAGAACCCAGGACCACCAGCCCAGGGTGATAACACCGGCAATGATCTGGGTCCTCCTCCCTGTCTGTCACCAGTCTTGCCTACAGCCTCATCTTTTGTTTTTGGTGGTTTTTTTGTTTGGTTGGTTGGTTGGTTTGGTTTGGTTTTCTCAGACTGTGCATCCTCATCTTATTGAGGCGTCTTCTCCATTGAGACTCCCTCCTCGCTGATGAATCGAGCTTGTATCAAATTCACATAAAACTAGCCAGCACAAAGTGTACCATACATGTAAATAAACACTGCATAAGGTAAATATATAGAGAATTATTGTATATTACTTGCATATAATTATGTAAAAATAGTTTAAATAAAAGATTAAGAAGTGTAGGAGTGAGGAATCAATGAAGAATACTTTTAGTTTTTAATCTTTTTATTTATTTTTATTATATGGTATTTTGCCTATATATTTGGCTGTGAATGATCAAAATAAGAAGAGAAAAGGGAAAGAAGGGACTCTCTGTGACAGAGCACATGTGTAACATGTATGAGACCCTGCTGAGATCACACCACCCACTGCCAAAGGAGAGAGACAGAGACAGAGAGAGGTTACACCACCTGCTACCAAAGGAGAGAGTGGAGAGAGAGATTAATAATTCACGAGTGTGATGATACCTACAGCTTGGAAGGCTGAGGTTGGAATCTGTGGCTTCACAAGTTTGAAACCAGTGTAGGGAGAGAGGGAGGGGAGGACAAAGAAGGAAGGGATGGTGAAAAAGGCCAGGTGGTGGTGACGCACACCTTTAATCCCAGCACTCAGGAGGCAGAGACAAGAAGCAGATCTCTGTTAATTCAAGGCCAGCCTGGTCTATAGTGAGTTCCAGGACATTCTCCAAAACTACAGACTACAGAGAAACCCTGTCTCATAAAACAAAAACAAACAAAAAAAAAAAAGGAAGACAGGGAGGGGTGGAGGAAAGCAGGCAAGTGCATGTCCAAGGAATAAGTCCACACTGCCAACTCATAAGTCCAACTCATCAGTATTGCTGGATCGGTGACCCCGGTTTTGTGAACATGTAAGATAGAACAAAGTTTCCTTGTGATGTTTTCATACATGTATGTAATACATTTTTATCATACGTAGCACCTCTGACGTCATCTCTTGTTCTCCACTCCTACTGCTCCTCTCCTGGCATAGTCCCTTTTGTGCCTTTGTCCTTTTTAGACAAGATCTCACTGTGGAGACCAGCATGATCTGGGCTCACAGTGTAGACCAGCATGATCTGGGGCTCACAGTGTAGACCAGCATGATCTGGGGCTCACAGTGTAGACCAGCATGATCTGGGCTCACAGTGTAGACCAGCATGATCTGGGGCTCACAGTGTAGACCAGCATGATCTGGGGCTCACTGTGGAGACCAGCATGATCTGGGGCTCACTGTGGAGACCAGCATGATCTGGGCTCACTGTGTACCAGGTCATCTTGGAATTCAGAGATCCATCTGCCTCTGCCTCTGCCGGGATCAAAGGTGTACACCACCACTCCCAACCTTTATGGTTTTAAAAAAGAAAATTTACATTTTCATTTGAAAGAGATGAAAAAGATACATCACACACCATTCTTTAAAAGGTGTAATAGAGGCCAATGAAACAAGACAGGGCATACGAGAGAAGAACGTGGATTGAAGAAAAGTAGCGCCAACTGAGAGTTCAGTTCAGTGCCATTGACAAACCCCCATGCCGGTAACCTTGGAGACAGCAGGCTGAGGCCAAGAGGAAGGAGAAACTGGGCCTTCAGACTTTCAGATATGTGTTTGAGAAACATAATATTTTCTCAAAAAAAAAAAAAAGTTGATGCTTTGTTCTGTGTCCAACAATCCTAAGCTTAGTACCATAGAGGTACTTGTGTATCAGGCTACTAAAGCACTCTACAGATGTGAGACCAGCTTAGATGTCTGCGCAGATCAGGGGACAAAGAAGTTGCAGTACCTGTATACAGTGGGCGTGAAATCCCTTTAGCAGCCATAAACTGCTCTAGTTTATCCTTGTCCTAGGTGATTTCATTTTTCTTCACTTTAAAGGTGAGTTTGCTTGACTTCACAGGCTTGACTCTCATGACTTGAAATGCATCATTCCAACTGACTGGCATGTGCTGTAATCCCAGCACGTGGGAGACTGAGACAGGAGGATGGCCAAAAACATGAGGCCAACTTGGGCTATATGGCGAGTTCAAGGCAAGCCTGCACTTTATAGAAACCCTGTCTCAGAACACACACACAAACACACACACACACAATGTGCATGTACATTCCTGGCTCACTGTATTTATACTACCAAAGTCCTGGAATCACACTCCAGAGTCCTGTGAGTGGAGGGTAGTAACCTTGGTTTTCTCAATGGGTGGCTCTCATTACTTTTTGTCATTTCAGGGGAAAAGTCTGGGGAACATGTATTCGTAATGCTAGAAATCACGGTGTTAGCACACAGATCCTTGATTCCAGGGAATTAGCAGAACCCCAAAACGTTACAACCAGTGAGGAAAGTAAACTTCCGTTCCCTTTGTCTCCCCAGGCATGTGTAACCCTCGGAATTACAGCGACACACCTCCCACCTCAAAGAGCACAGTGGAGGAGCTGCATGAGCCCATCCCCTCCCTGTTCAGGGCGCTCACGGAGGGGGACACCCAACTGAACTGGAACATCGTCTCCTTCCCTGTGGCAGAGGAGCTCTCACACCATGAAAATTTAGTGTCCTTTTTAGAAACTGTGAACCAGCCGCACCACCAAAATGTGTCTGTTCCCAGCAACAATGTTCACGCTCCTTATCCCAACGACAAAGGTATCTATTCCACCCTGTGGTCTGCCCTGCAGTCCGTGACAAATACTTCAGGTTATCTTTTGGAGCATCTTTTAAGTTTGAATTTGTGTAGTCTTAAATAAATGGCAAATGCGGAGACACATCAGCATGGAGGCTGTGTCGGAAAATGAGTAACTTCCTAGTTCTGCGTTTATTTGAATGAGATATTAAGTGTTCTTTAGTCCATGGCGTCTGTGCTTGGTGTCAGGTGACTCGAGCTTCCTTGCAAGTTAGGTGTTTGCAAATGATGCATTGGCGCTACAAATGATGCCGAGGTCATCAGCTACTTTATTTTTGTTTTGTTATTATGTGTGTATGTGTTTCTGAGTGTGGGCACACACACCATCGCACTTGTGGGTTCTGGGATGAAATCAGACTGGGCTTATACAGAACGGGTTTTTCCTTCTTTCTGCCTGTCAGTTAAAATTCTATGGACAGATTGGTATCGCGGACATCTCATTTACAGGTATAAACTGTCCCACCCTGTTCTCTGCGGGGATGTGATTATGGTTCATCATCTGAGAATCTTAGCAAAGAACATTTACTAGTGAGAATAGATCATATTATAATTATGGAGTATAAAGAGCTTATAGCTATAATAAAGTCTTAATGTTTTCAGTACAGTTTATAGCAGAAGAATAAGGCATTTGTGAAATACAATTGATGTGGCTTTTGTTTTAGTTTTTTGTGCCAGGGTCTGAGATGTAGACCAGGCTGGCCTTGACCCTGTGGCAGTCCTCTCTGGGACTACAGCTGTGAGTACCACACCTGGCTTGCAGCTGAATCTTAAAGCATTAAATGAAGTGCAGACACTGTCATGTGAACTCTGTTTCTAACTAGTCTCTTTATTATGCCTTCCACTGTAATCTGACCAATATAAAATGGGACTTTGCATGTTAACAATAAAAGCTAAACAGTTTTGTTAAATGACAGTATGAATTCTTACCTCCTTTCAGGTTAGATTGCTTTGTAAATCAAATGTTAGGCTTTGGGAAAGGTTGGAAATGCGTAGAACTTGATGCTTTGCTATTTTCTCATATTGAAATAGAATGACTGTCATAGATATGTATTATTCATTAGTTCTGCTCAGTCATGTCTTAGATTCATGACAGTGTTACACAGAAGCCAGCTTCTGGAAACTTGGTGCCTCTTCTTCCTCCTGGTAGTTACAGACCCTCAATTTTACAGACCCTTGCAGTTTGGTTTGAACTGATAGGTTTACTTTTTACCTAGCTCTTTGGACTCTTGAGTCTGCAATGGCTAGCCCATGGTAGGAGCTTAGTAAATATACATTGGATAAAGTTAGATGAGATGAATTTAATAGAGCCTAGTCAGTAGGTGATTTGAGTGTCACAAATGACTTGCTCACTGTCAGTCCTTCTGCTCGACTGTTTCGGTGCCTCACCACTTCCCAGCTTTCTTCATTGCTAGTAAACAAGAATTGTTTATTATAATTGTGCATATATGATAAGGGGCACACACTGTGTGAGGCTCTGTGGGGTGGCTCTAGGGATCAAACAAAGCTTGCATGGCAAGTACTTTACCCACTATTTTTTTCTTTGACACAGTTTATATGTATATTTAAATTCACTGTGTAGCCCAGGTTAGCCTTGAACTCATGATCCTTTCACCCCAGCTCCCAAGTATTGGGATAGCATGTATGTGCCACTGCTCCTGGGCCTTCGCTCTGTTCCCATGGATACTCCAAGGCTTTTGTCCTTCAAGGCCTGGAAGCTTTGCTTTTTATTCCCCTTAACACAAGCCCAGTGTTTTCTACTAGGCCTTCTCTCTAATCGTTAGAGGTCTTAAAAAGATAACTTAGTGCCAGCCAGACAAGGTGGCACATGCATGTGATCCCAGGAGCAGATGGCTAACGCAGGAGCAAGTTTCTTGAGCAGCCATGGCTGCATAAGCAAGAGACCCTGTCTCTAAAACAGCAACAGCCTGCTCTTCCCACCTCAGGGGAAACCAAAACCCTTAACCTCTGATCGTACACTCTCCCTTAATGCTCTGTGAATGGTTTTTATTGTCTTTGCTTTGTTTTGTGTTGTGTTAGATCTTAGCCAAGAAGCCACATGGGATTAACCACTTGTAGAGTTAAAAACTGTCCATTCTGTGGGAGCGCAGAGTAGGCAATCTTGTTAGTGACATCTGCTTGCGAGTGTGTATTGATCACTTTGCGCTGTTTGGATTGCTTGCTTCAGTACAAATTCCCAGTATGACCTTAGGACAATATTTTTCAATCTTGTCTGGACTAGAGAAGTATGTCTTTGGAGAAACATCAGTTTAGGAAGCTGCGTTGTTGCTTCGAAGATGGTTGTTGGCCAGATATTCTAACCTTCGAGTCTTTGCCTTCTGTGTCTGAAGATCTGTCAACGCAGTTAGCAAATGAAGGTCTTTTTCCCCTCATTTTGTCATGTGCTGATCAGCAATAAGAACCAAGCGAACAGCTGTAGTGTTATTTAACTGAGTGGCAGGATCTTCTTGCTTGTGCTGAGGTCTGCATTTTCTTCCTTTCAGAGCACATGTGCACTGTGGTTTACTTTGATGACTGCATGTCCATACATCAGTGTAAAATATCCTGCGAGTCCATGGGAGCGTCCAAATACCGCTGGTTTCATAACGCCTGCTGTGAGTGCATCGGTCCAGAGTGTATCGACTACGGCAGTAAGACAGTCAAGTGTATGAACTGCATGTTCTAAAGAAGGGAAAGGAACGCAATCCAAAGCAGCTTAGTTTCTAGGAGGACATGAAAATTACTCAGTAAGTCATGAAGTGTGCAAAGTCTTGAGTCAGGTATGCTAAGAACATACTAAATTATGTTGTTATAACTGTACCTTTTCTGTTTGTTGCCTATTAGTGTATGTCTTTTCCATGGGAACAGTAGAACTCTAGTCCTATGAGAATGGGGTACAGAGGAGTTGTGGAAGAGCTGTAGTTCTGACAGAAGGTCTGGTGCCTTTGGTTACCAGGAGCTGTGGCTTTCAACTACCAGCCTCAAGTCCATCAGGTCTCTGTCCTTACACCTTTCCTAACCGTGCCTTGGATTGCTTATCTGTTTTATATAAAGAGAGTAAATATTGCAGCTCACATTCAAGCCACTGTAAAAGCTTAATGGTTATCTTACATGGTTTTAGAAAGTAAATATTTACTATATTTTACAGCAGAAAACTTTTCCCTAGGGCCAGTGAGCTGACTCGGTGGGTAAAAGTGTTTGCTGCCATGCCTGATGACCTGAGCTTGATCCCTAGCACCAGAGCCCATACAGTGGAGGAGAGAACCAACAGACCTCCATACATGCACAATAACATGCATGCATATGCACACAGGCACACACACACTAAGTAAATGTTTAAGAGAACTTTAAACCTCTCACGTGGTGAGATCTGTCCTACAGCACTCATGCCGACGGTGACTTAGCCGTGGTCTTGCACTCCCCCACCCACAGTGCTGATGTATAGGCAGTTGAATCATCTCTACCAAGAATTGCGGCACACCCTTGAAACTCCACTAAACGCACTGTGAGGATCTGGGTGCAGAAGAAGCCAGAGAAAGAGCAGCCAGGCTGTATGTAGGTCATGTGATGCCACATCAGGCACCAGGAAGCAGCTGTCCTTTACCAGCTGCACAGCAGAGGTGAGAGTGAGGTGCACCAGGAGAAGGGTCAGGCTCGGCACCAGCAAACCAGCCAGCTTCTCCAGCACACAGACCGCAGGCTCGGCACCAGCAAACCAGCCAGCTTCTCCAGCACACAGACCGCAGGCTCGGCACCAGCAAACCAGCCAGCTTCTCCAGCACACAGACCGCAGGCTCGGCACCAGCAAACCAGCCAGCTTCTCCAGCACATAAGCATAGGCTCGGCACCAGCAAACCAGCCAGCTTCTCCAGCACACAGACTGCGGGCTCGGCACCAGCAAACCAGCCAGCTTCTCCAGCACGTGGGGTTGCAGAGGGTTGAAGAGGAATTTACAGACGTGAACAGAGAAGGGCGAGATTGTTGGGAACTCTTAGGATCTACCTTAAGACCATTTATAGTCGCTGTTTTTGTTACTTTGTAATGTCTATATTTGTTTCTGGATATCTGAATCTAACATTCTTATTAAATAAGCATCATATTTTGGAAGCTGTATTTCTAAAAGTGGAGAGGCAAATCTGTTTAATATGTTTACTCCTACTTATTACAGAATTATCTAATTAGCTTCTTATGTAGTGTTTCTAGAGACAAGTTGAAATACTACATACTCTTCATAGAAATAAAATCCTCACTTTCAAGCATGATTCTAAAACAAATATTTAAAATACACAGGCTCGTTTTAATGAAATTGCTATTTTTTGCTAGTGCAGATCTGAATTAAAAGTAACTTTTTAGGAATAATCTTTATATGTCTATATATTTTAGTACATAAAATAGAAAATGCTCTTAAACACATTTTGCATTCTTATTTGAATAGTAGTTAACTACAAGATTGTGATATTACATAAGGCTCCCCACTATAAAACCTGTTCTTTCCCATGGCTGAAGAGCACTGCAGGTCCGCAGCCTTCTAACGACACGCGTCCTCTCACTCTCATGGCAGTGCCTCTGTTTCAGCCTTGGGAACGGCTTAGCTCCTTTCATAGCTCCCACACTGCCGGGGTTTTCTTGACAGAAGGAGGGGCTTTGAAGGACTGCAGCTTGTGCTCCATCTTGTCTTCCTAATTGTCGAGAAAGTCATGCCTATGAATGGGAATGCTCTGATGGCTGCAGGCAGTTTGCCTTCAAGTTTCCTTTTTTGGTTTGTTTGTTGTTTTTGTTTTGTTTTGAAACAGGGTCTCTATGAAGCCCTGGCTGGCCTCGAACTTGCTACAGACCAGGCTGACTGTCCTCATGCTTTCTTATGGTGGCCACAAGCATTGTTAACGTATATCATTACCTTTTTAAAAATCTTTTCATTATCAAATTTTAAAATGTCGTATGTCTTTTTTACCCCATACATTTCTCTGTGGACAGTTTCTTAAACCAATTGCTTTACTGTTTTTTATTGCCCTGTTTTCCCCATTAGAATTGATCCTACAGATAAGTTTTATGTTCCTATTTTGTGTATTTCTCCTGGTTTGCCAAGGCCTTGAGGAAAAAGCAGCATTCAGCCGACAGGTTTTAGTTTTAGAGCTGGGGGTTGTGCGTACACTTGTGGTCCAACACTTGAGAGGCTGAACAAGGGGACCTCAGGATCACAGGACACACAGCAAGACACTGTCTCAAAACAGCAAAGAAATCCTTTCTAGTTCTATACTCAACATTCTGAGTATTGTTTTTTCTAAATTGAAATTAACATTTAAGAAGCTAATGGCCTCGGTAGTACCTTCTACACCATTCTAGCATGTTCACTTCCCTATTGAAGAGTTTGTAATAGTTTGTTCCTTTTTATCGTTTTTATAGTTTATCTTTATTATAGCCAGATCAGAAAACACTAGATTTTAAGGGCTGGGTTAAAGCCCAGTGATGGAGCTCTTGCTTATCATAGGTGTAGCCCTGGGTTTCCTCCTGGGTACCAACAAGAAACAAAACACTAGGTTGTGAATCAGAGGGTATTATTAAATCCATATATACACACACTTTCCTGTAGCAAGACATGGGCTTATGGGCAGTTTTTTGTCTTGTGTTTCTCCCATAACATTTAATTATGACTGTAACTATTTGTAATTATGGTACAAAAGCAAATGGTGATTCAAGTAAAATGTAGTGTTTGTTTACGCAGGATGGTGTGAAATGGGTCTTCACATCAAAAGAAAACTTTTTGGGTTTTCAAGACAGGCTTTCTCTGTATAGCCTTGACTGTCCCAGAACTCATTCTGTAGGGTAGCCTGGCCTCAAACTCACAAAGATCCACCATCTCTCCCTCCCAAATACTGGAATTAAAGTGTGTCACCACTGCCTGGCCAAAGTATATGTTCTAAAGTTTCAGAAAATAAGATTGTCATTAGGATATTTGAACAAGTATTTGTAAATCGAAAAAACCTTCAAAATAGAGAAAAGAAACTAAAGCTTCTCTGGAAAACAAGGTTTAGAACTGGACACGCTTGAAGGGTTTGTACTTAGACAGCATCTTTTAAGACTTTAACTTACTTTGGTTATTCCCAAGCATCTGTTTATTGCATTTAGCATGACCTAAAACATATATAATTGTGTATTCTCATTGCTTGTCTCTGTAATCAAAAAAGTATTTTAATAAAAAATAGAAATGAACCTGCATCGTGTTTTATGAACTTCAGCAGAGAAAGCTGAACGTGCCGTTCTGTCTAGTGATGCTAACCTTTGCCGAACGTGCCATTCTGTCTAGTGATGCTAACCTTCTTTGCCGAATGTGCCGTTCTATCTAGTGATGCTAACCTTCTTTGCTGAATATGCTGTTCTCTCTAGTGATGCTAACCTTCTTTGCTGAAGGTCCCCAGAATTGCTGGGACAAATGCTCCTGCACTTAGCCTCTGTGGGGTCATGGCACCAGCTGCTTTACAAGAGTAATGTAGCACGCAGATCTGACGTCAGGCCGTGTGCCCCAGGTGCCCCAGTTCAGCCATGAATGTGGTAGACGCTGATGCCATACAGCAGTGTCCAAGACTGGACTGACCAGAGGGGACAGAGGAAAGAGGTGTAGGAAGTCACTTCCTGGCAGTCCCACAGCAATGACACAGGTCAGTGTGACTGTGTGACCTGGGAAGAGAGGCGATGAGCTCTGCTGTCACAGTGACTCCCTGTTCTGTTGCTGAACCACACCATGACCAAGGCAGCTAAGAAAGCCCTTAACCGAGGTCCTGCTCACAGTTGCGAGGTTAGTCCAGGCCCATCATGGCGGGGATATGGCTTCAGTAGGCAGATGCTCTGGAGCAGTAGCTGAGGGTTGATCCGCAGGCGAGTGTAACAGGCCCCCAGAGCCTAGCACAGCTGACGCCATGATAGAAACACCACTCAGGCCTTGACGCCCAGCACGTGGGCAGCACCGCCTGCAACAACAGAAGCAAAGGCGGAGTCAGCGGTTCCAGGATGTGGTTTGAGAAGTTCCTTTGTCTACTAACCCTGCAGATTTGCTTCTATGGTTCCACTTCTTCCTAACTGAAATGTGCCAACCAGAATATGGATTTTTGTGCACAAGAACCTAAGAACTGTAAGGCTCAGGGTTATATATTTTGGGCAAATTTCCTATGTGGCTGCAGGCCAACAACACTATCTATTATCTGGCTTAAGAGCATCCAAGTGGTAGCCTCTGCCGGGCTTACCCTGCACCAGTGTAGGCAGCGTGATGGAGACACCTGCACGGCCTTGCAGAAACCTTAAAGCCCACCCCCAGTGACACACCTCCTCCATCAAGACCGCACCTCCTAATCCTTCCTAAACAGTCTCCCAACTGGGAACCAAATATTCAAACACAGGAGCCTATGGGGCCATTCTCATTCAAACCACCAGACATAGGAAAATAGTGGACTAGGGTAAGATGTTGTACGGATGAGAGAAGATGGGGCCAAGGACCTTGGGTGGTAGAGTCCGAGGGAAGACAGATTCGTTGGGAAAGTCTCTCCAGTGGCCGACAGTCCTGCAGAGGATAGAACTGAGATGCAGAGCTGGAGGCCACCCCCTAAGCCCAAAGCTCAGGCATCCAGGTGACAGAGCCAGGTGCACCTTTAAAGGTTACCTTTTAAAACCATGTGTGGTGATGCACACCTTCAATCCCAGCACTGTCAAGACAAGAGGATCTCTGCTCTCTGTGAGTTCAATGCCAGCATGGTCCATGATAGACAGGACAATGGGGAGAGACCCTTCTTCAAAAAATATGTGCATTTTTAAATTGGTACATAGTTGTACCAACTGTGCGTATTTGTATTTGTGGGACACAGCATGACCTTTCAGGACTTGTATACAGTGTGTAATGATCACACACGTCTGTCATCTTAGTGTTTCTTTGTGTTAGGAACTTTAAAAAAAACAAACAAAAAGCAGGCTGAAGAGATGACTCAGAGGTTAAGAGCACTGGCTGCTCTTCCGGGGGTCCTGAGTTCAATTCTAAGCAACCATGGTAGCTGCAATCATCTACAATGAGATCTGGTGCCTTTTTCTGGTGTGTAGGTGCACATGTAGGCAGAATACTGTATACATAAATAAGTAAATCTTTTAAAAACCCTACTATTTTTATAAATTGTATTAATTTTTTTATTTTATGTGCATTGGTGTTTTGCCTGCATATATGCCTATGTGAGGGTGTCAGATCTTGGAGTTACAGACAGTTGTGAGCTGCCATGTAGATGCTGGGAATTGAACCCAAGTCCTCTGGAAGAACAGTCAATGCTCTCAAACACTGAGCCATCTCTCGAGCCCCTATAAATTGTGTTAATTGTTGACGGCCTTAGTTACCCTGCAGTGCTGTGAAGACCAAAAGTTAGCCCCACCCACCTGCACCCTGCACACATTGCCACACCTCTCAGGCTTCTGACCCTCATGTGGCCACTCTCTACTCTCCTGCTTCCTGTGGCAGGCAGCTCTTGTCTTCTGAGCCCAGCTCACATGACACAGTGTTCCCTTGCTCCAACAGAACTGCAGAATTCAACTCCTTATGTGGTTAAGTAACACAGTATGTATACTCCTCCTGTATCCGTTCACCCATCGAGCTGTTTGGGGGCCGGTCAGCCTGGTAAGGGAGATGTCTTTAGGAATTGTGGGTCTTCAACATTTCAAGTTTTTTCTAAGCAATTAAAAAGTGAACTCAAGCCAGGTGGTGGTGGCACGTGTCTTCAATCTCAGCACTCGGGAGGCAGAGGCAGGTAGATTTCTGTGAGTTTGAGGCTAGCCTGGTCTACAGAGCAAGCTCCAAGACAGCCAGGATAGTTACACAGAGAAACTCTACTTTGAAAAAAACAAAAATAAAGTAAAAAGTAAATTTATTTTACCCAGTGTTAGTGAAAAATTACAGGAGGCCATTGTTTTGGCCTAAGTCTGCACCAACAAAGCAAAGTGAAATAGTTTCTTATACCCCAACCCTCAGAATCAAACTTCAGGGAAGATGGTAGGTCCCTGACAGACCAGTTTCTCTTGGAAAAGCAGACTCCAGTCTACCTGAGCATAAGAAAGCCCATCTGTTTTTATCTTTACTGAAAAATAACAAACAGATCATGATCAGTCAACTTTTTCTTTTTTCTCAATGCCATTTCCTTGTTTTTAGCCTACAAACCCCACTGTCCTGATGGGAACTCTGTTTTGTAGAGGACATGGGTAGATCCATGACTCAGGATCTCACAGTATCATCTTTTGACTCATTCATTTTGGAGGAAGTCAGACTTTATTGTCTAAGCTGGTCTTCAATTCCTGAGCTCCTGTGACCCTGAGTCACTGGCCCACAGGCAGGGGCCGCCCCTGTCCTAACCAGCAGTAAAACTGATCCACAGCCCCAGGCTTCTGTTCTGAAGAGGAGACGTGTCAGTGTAGAAGCACACAGAAAGCCTCCTCCTTCCCTGCCTGCACTGCCAACTCCCGGAGTTCTCAGACTAGATCCCAGGAAAGCAAGGCCCCTATCTACTGGCCAAGGAAACAAATTCCCTTACTAGATTTCAGGGAGTCGTTGGGGTTAGTCACAGTCAACACGGAACTACCTCTATGGCAGAATGGTTGTGTGACCTAAAATTTTTCTAAACATAATCTTCTGCCTTGCCAGCATCTTGTCAGGTCCAACCTGCCAGCCAGCCAGTTCCACAGAGCCCAGAAAACACTGAAGTAACCAAACACCCCAACTCTCCGACACCCACAAGCCAGGAGGATGTAGCCTCGAGAGACCCGACACCCCATTCCCTCCCATTGGTGACCCCTAACCCCCATTTTTATAGTAAACAAAAGGGTGGAGTGTTAGGTTTCCATCACCCAGCACTTTGGCAAAATGTCCAACCACCTCAAAGGTTGGCATGTCTGCGTTCCAGGGCCACGCATGTACCATCAAGTGATCAGACAGTTTACTTAGCCACTGGGGCCCTCAAGACCTATGTG